AAAAAAAAAAAAAATCTAGAGAAAATTGAAATTGGATTTAGTCTTCAATATATCGGATTCAGATAACTAAACCCCTTGATTTTCTGTCCAATTAAATACCTGCTACTATTCCTAGCCGTCACAAAATTGAAGTTTTTGCAGACAAAACTTTGTGAGACTGATTGACGAAATGGACAAGGGTAATTTACCTTGGGAAGAGTTTTCATCAAAAGTCAGGTGCTTACATGAGAAAAGGATTGGAGCACCACATTCCAGGTTAGTGGGAGATTCTCCAAAACTTGAGGAAAGCTTTTATGCAAATCCTTTCCCTGGTTGCATATGCCAAAAATCGAGAAGGTGATATTAATGTGCAAAGAAAGGCAACATACAAGAAACCCCAATTTACTGGGATGAAAGCTACCGCAGCAAAGCTTTGTTTGTATTCATACTCAAAACAGACTATTATAGTTCAAACTGTTGTACTCTACATGACTACTTGTCCCAGAACTAGAAGCGTTAGTGGATTAAACAGAGAGAAGGAGAACTCAAAGAAGTTCTGATAGCTATAGAGCCATTTCCAAACCTCCTACAGTTTTTATACTTTTGCAAGAAAAAAAATATTGGATTAATTTTGGTCATCAATTGTAGCCAAAAAAGACTGATTTCAACTCAACTGTAATATCATTACATTAGTGAAAAAGGATATCCCAAGATATTGATTCCACCAACTTACGGTGCTCATACATCATGAACAGATTTTACATTATCCATTCAATTTTTTGCCTTCCTGCTTCAGCTGAACAGTCAAACATGGCACAGTACACTGACAGATGTTTAATTGGTCAATTAATTCAGAAATAAATATGCAATCGCCTAGCAAAAATCTATGTATAACACAAACTGAAAGTAAGCTATCAGCTCTTCAGCAAAAGAACTCAGGAAACATTAAAGTTATTTTAGCAGCCCTAGAAAATAGTGCGGATGTATTTGATGCTGCTGTAACATGGTACAGCTAGAAGCGCACTGGAAAACATGTACAATCAATTATACCAATCAAGAAAGAGAATTGAAAAAGTAAGTACAAATAGGAAAAGTAAAAGAAAAGTTCTGCTGCTGCTATTCCTTTGAATTGCTTGTGAGAGCTCTTTGTTACCAAGCTGTACATTCTTTGTAGCTTCAACGGCCTGTTAAAAAAAACAACAATAGATTCAAATGTTAGATATCATTACAATTAAATGAACAAAAACCCACAAATATATATGTATTAGTACATTAACAAAAAGCTACTCAAAGACATTCCAGCTTATGCACTTTTACGTCATTACTTGTACACTAATCATGTATGTTTTAATCATTAGCAACATTTAGCAAACCTCGAGTATTCTATGACCAGCTCATATAAAAATTCCATCTGTTGTGCCTGTTGCAAAACATTTGTGGACATGAGATGGTTCAGCGCAGACATTTCCACCATTTTTGTTTCCGTTTCTTGAACAGCATCTAACATGCTTGCTAACTCTACCTATAGAGACAAGTGTGTCACAGAAAGCATCATTCTTGTGAATCACAATTGAAGATTTTCTCAAGCTGCATGTATGTAGAGACTTACAGAAATCAACCAAAGTACTAATTACCTGGAGGGCGTGTGTTTCATCATTCAGAACTTGCTGCTGGACTCTGATAGGCTCTGATTGAACTTCATTAGCCTCTCTAACCTCTGAATTGTCCCTGGACTGCAAATTGCTAGAATTAGAACTTTCTGTAACATTTTTCATGTCACTCTTCAGTTTTCTTCTTGGTTTTACTCGGTTAATAGCGTCTTGGAAACGTATGGCTCTTAGCTGATCAAACTGCGATGTCACGGAATGAAGTTTTTCGCTTAAAATCAGTACCTGTACAACATTATTAAAAACCATTTTCAATCTAGCTTGTTATTATGACTGAAATAGAAATATACTTGGTGAAAATGAAAATTAATAATAATGACCAATGCTTCTTTCCCTATTGCAATCAGAAGACCAAAATAGAGATATAATCATCCGCAATACAGTAAAAACTGGAATCCACTTCCCCATATAATAGAGGATGCTTACACTACAAGAATCCAAAATTGAAAAACAACATGTATAGAATACACTTGTGATTATCAAATTAGACGAACTCAGGCCATGATATATATATATATATGTATATATATATATATAGTATATATACATACATGTATATAGTATATATATATATATGTACATATATATATATATATANGAGTCCCAATGATTTTTTGCACCGACGTTCAAATCCATTGGAGGTATCCAGCGTTCTAATGGAAACTTCACACGAATATGAGGGGGACGACGATAAGGATAATCAACAAGCTGTACAGGTTATAAATGCAGATGTTAACTTCTTCAGTTAGCAAAAATACAGTGCTCTTTTCCCCATAATTTGACGTTGTTATTGCATTAAAATGCTTGTAATCTGAATGCTAAATGCAATGGAATAACTATTGTAAATTCAGCACATCTACGTCAGGTAAAAATACTAGCCATGCAGAATTATATAAAAACGAATTAATCGATGTGATAAATATAGTTTAATACGATGAAGTAGAAGGTCAAAAATAGCAGCCATTGGTGAGAATTGAACTGTTCATTTATTTATTTCCCACACTTTTTTGAGGATAAAATATGCTCAATGTATGTATATAATCCACTAATAAAAAGCTAATTAACTTGATTAATGTTTTGAACCATGACCCTATAAAAATCACACATGCTAGAATTATAAATTTGACTAAGCTGATACTTGTTTTTGTAAATCTTCAGATTCCCGAGGTGTGGAGGAATCCTACAAGTAATAACTACTACAAGTGTGTAGATCGACAAAGTAACAAGACAAGTATGGAATGGAGATATCAGCTTCATCTTGTTTCATCTTTTTAATTACTTTATAATATTGTAATCAGTTTGACTCTCTCAGGAAGCAAACCTGCCCCAAATGGTTATATTCTAGTTCGTGCTAATGGTGGACTAAATCAAATGAAAACTGGGGTAATGATTCATGCATTACCATACCATTCTATGCAATGAAATGCATGAACAGCTTAAACTGTATCTACATTCATACCTGCAGATAAGTGATATGGTGGCCATTGCACAGTTGATGAATGCTGCTTTGGTTCTACCTTCGTTAGATCACAAGTCATTCTGGACAGATCCCAGGTGCGCTGCCCGTTGTATAATTCTGCCTGATTCAACACACTCTCAAATTAAATAAAAGAACTTATAGATTGAATATTGAGTTTTCTCAGTGATTTTAAAGATATTTTTAACTGGAAGCACTTCATGAATGCTATGGAGGATGATATACAAGTAGTGGAGTCTCTTCCACCAAATGTGGCACATGTCAAACCCCTCGTCAAGGCTCCAGTTTCTTGGTCCAAGGCATGTAACATTATACATATACACATGTACATAGCGTGATCTTGAATTCCATCTATGTATAAAATAGAAAATTTGGATTTATGTGCAGCCCAGTTATTATAAAGGAGAGATGTTGAAGATGTTAAAGCTGCATAAAGTGATACAATTTACGCACACTGATTCACGCCTCGCTAACAATGGCATTCCAGATGCAATTCAGAAACTTCGATGTCATGCAATGTATGAAGCACTTCAATTCTCGGAAGATATTGAACTACTTGGAAACAAGTTCGTTTCCAGGCTAAAGGAGAATGGTGGTCGATATATAGCTCTCCATTTGAGGTATATATCTTGCCAAAATGACTGGCAGAGCTCAATATGTGTGTGTGTGTGAGAGAGAGAGAGAGAGATTTCTGATCAGATAATTTTGTTGTAGGTATGAGAAGGACATGCTAGCTTTCACCGGTTGCAATCATAACCTTACTAGGAAGGAGGCTGAGGAGCTCAGAAAATTGAGGCGCAAAGTTAGGCATTGGAAAGAGAAGCGCATAAATGGCACAGAGCGAAGGCTCCAAGGAAGGTGTCCAATGACTCCTCGGGAGGCAGCGGTATTACTGGAAGCACTGGGATACCCATCTACCACTAAAATCTACATAGTTGCAGGGGAAATTTATGGCCAATATGGCCTAAATGCACTTCGTGAAAAGTATCCTAACGTGTATTATCATTCTAATCTAGCATTGGAGGAAGAAATACAACCATTCAGCCAACTGCAAAATCAGCTTGCCGCCTTGGATTATATTGTAGCCCTGAAAAGTGATGTTTTTGTTTATACCTATGATGGAAACATGGCTAAGGCAGTGAGGGGTCATCGAATTTTTGAAGGCTACCGGAAAACCATCGATCCTGACAAGTAAGTTATTCATTGGATTAAAGGTTCTAGTTTAACTTCCATTCTCTCTCGATATTGGAATAAATCTGAAAATTGTCAATATAAGTAATGTTATTGTGATTACAAGTAAGAATAATTATGAGTTAAATAAAAATGTTGAAAAAAAAGAAAGAAA